TGTGGGCTACATTTATTCCTGATTCGTCATGGCGATCATGCATAAGTCAGGCCGCCGGGCTAAGCTTTCTTGACGACTAAATGAATAAATCATAGAAAGCAACGGTGGGGGAAAAAATCTCCCTGCTCTCGAAGAATGCAGTGTGGAGAAAGTTGCGGGGAGGGGGGCGTGTTAAACGGTGCTGCCTCTTGCAGGGTCCTTCTGCCCCCTCCCCACGGCTCTATAACCAGGATGAAGCCCGGGTGCCAGCCCCACCTAGAATTCTGCCCACCTAGGGTTTGGGGGAGAGGAAACTCTCTCTTTTTTTAAACCAAAATAATAGTTCAAAGACAGGGACAAGAGCAGTTTAGAAAGAGCTCTAGCAACTCATTTTACTTCACTGAGAGCCGGCCCAGCGATGCAAAGAAAAGAGCGGCCATTCCTCCTTTTCTGCAGGGTCTTCCCGTGCTCGGTGCTTCATCCAGAAAGCCCTCCGTTCTCCCCCCCACTCCAAATTTTTGCTTTCCTTCAGGAAAGAGTGGGAGACCCTCCTTTTCCCAGGTGTCTTTGGCCGATAGGATGGCACTTGAGGTCAGCCGACGAGGGCCGTCTCTGCGAGGGTGTTTTATCATGTGGATTCCAGAGCATCTGAAGGTTTTTAAGATGCGTGTTTTTACCTCTGGTTGGAGCAGTGTGCTGTTGCGATCAAGCCAACACACAAACAACCCTGCAGATTACAAGCCAGGGTTTGGGGAAGAACCCACAATGCCTCGCCCATAGCTCATCCACGTCATTTGCACAAACACAACCCCACGTGCGGGACGCCACTGTGGCTTTCCACACAGGCCGAGGGCCAGAAAGGGTGGCGTTGCCAACAGGCCCCCAGCTTTGCCAACCTGCTGGCTTCACATGGGTCAGGTGTGCCACTTGCAGAAGCTTAAACTGGCTTCTGGGTGTCCCAGTTAGGAAAAGCTGGCTTGAAGCTGGTCCTAGCACCCGGGGGTGGCGTGACCCAGCCCCGCCACCACGTTGCAGAAAGGTCCTCCCCTCCGTGTCTCCCCAGATCTCTGCCGCGAGAATGCAGGGCGGCGGCCTCGGAGATCGCCTGGATTTTGATTCCTCACTTGTTTTCACTATCACCAACTGCGTCGCCTACCAAGAGCGGGGGGG